GTTTTTCCACTTTATTCTATTATTTTTTGATTTTACACTTTTTGGGTTTTCTAATTTATGGATTGGATTCGTTTTGTCTTCTTTCCAGTTTTTCTATTCATTAATTTTTTTGATTAATTTTAGTACATCAAAATTACTAAAATGTTAATAATATGCCAAGTGTCCCGCCCACCCACCCTAAATTTTCTTAGAGAATATATCATTTTCCTAAATCAGTCTTACTGTACTACTACAATTTTTAACTTTCTCGATTTTAGTTTTTCAATGTTTCATTTTTCCGTTTCTTCAGTTCTTCGATTTCCAATTTTCGATTTTCCACTGTTTTGATTTTTTAATTTTCAGTTTTTTTATTTTTCAAGTCAAAAAAATGGAAAAACTGCAAAATTGAAAAATCAAAAATGAACACTGCAAAATCTAAACATTGGAAATTGGAAAAAGAAACGAAAAGTTCAAAAGGGAAAGATTGAAAATTGAGAAACTTGAAAATCGAAAAAGCCCAAAATCGAGAAAACGAAATAAAAATCCAAAAATTGCAAAATTGAAGGATTTAAAAATTAGAAAATCGAGGATTGAAAAATCAAAGAATGAAAATTCGAAAAATTGAGTAAATAAAATATACAATCTAAAAAAAAAACGTGGAAAAAATACAGGAAATGAAAAAACGAAAAATTGTAACATAAAAAATCAATAACTTAATGAGGAGAATGGAAGAATCGAAAAAATAAAAATTGTTTCTACAATTTTTTTCGTTTCGGATTTTGTTTTCTTTATTTTTTCAATTTTTCGGTTTTCAACGATTTTAGAACTTTTCCATTTTTCAATTACTGGATTTTAAAACGTTTTCATTTATTTGGTTTTTCAGTTTTTCGATTTCTAATTTTTCGCTATTTCATTTTTCAATCTTTCGATCTTTCAACTTTACAACTGAACCTACTATAATTTTCCGTTATTATAATTTTTGAACTTTCGCATTTTTCGATTCGATTCGTTTTTCATTTTTATCAGTCGATTTTTCAGTTTTTTCAGATTTTTGGTTTTTCAGTTTTTAATTTTTGGATTTTTCAAATTTCGAATGAAAGAATTTGCAAAAAATGTAAAATTTAAAATCAAAATTTGAAAAACAAAAAAGTACAAAATAAAAACTTTGAAAAATCAAAAATTGGAAAACAAGAAAAAACGAAATATATTGTAAAATCTAAATATTGAAAATTAAATAAATTGGAAAATCGGACAAATGGAAATAAAAAAATTGCAAGATTGAAAAATTTAAAAATCGGAAAATCGAGGAACTGAAAAATCAAAGATTGAAAATTTGAAAAAATACAGAAAATAAAAAACGAAAAATTGTGATATAAAATAGAGAAAATCAAGATTAAAAAAAATCAGGAAAATGAAAAATAAAAACCAGAACTTGAAAAATCGTGGAAACTAAAAATTAAAAATGGGGAAACTGAAAAAAAATCGAAAAATTTAATCAAAAAGCCAAAAAATGAAAAACCGAAAAATCGAAAGATTCAGAATTTAAAAAATCGGATCATTGAAAAACTGAAACGCTGAAGAATCGGACAATCGGAAAATTGAAGAATCGAACTGAAAAATCGAGAGCTTGAAAAATTCCAAAATGACGAAAAATTGGAAAATCAGAACATGGAAAAAACGCAAAATTGAAAAATCAAAAATGAACACTGCAAAATCTAAACATTGGAAATTGGAAAAAGAAACGAAAAGATCAAAATGGAAAGATTGAACATTGAGAAACTTAAAAATCGAAAAAGCCCAAAATCGAGAAAACGAAATAAAAATCCAAAAAGTGCAAAATTGAAGGATTTAAAAATTAGAAAATCGAGGATTGAAAGATCAAAGAATTAAAATTAGAAAATATAAAATCGAAAAAAACGTCGAAAAAATAAAGAAAATGGAAAAACGAAAAATTGTAACTTAAAATTAAAAAATCGGAAAAATGTAAACTAAAAATCAAGAACTTAATGAGAAAAATTAAAGAATCGAAAAATTAAAAATTGTTTCTACAATTTTTTCGTTTCGGATTTTGTTTTCTTTATTTTTTCAATTTTTCGGTTTTTCAACGATTTTAAACTTTTCCATTTTTCAATTATTGGATTTTAAAACTTTTTCATTTATTTGGTTTTTCAGTTTTTCGATTTCTAATTTTTCGGTATTTCATTCTTCAATCTTTCGATCTTTCAACTTTACAACTGAACCTACTATAATTTTCCGTTATTATAATTTTTGAACTTTCGCATTTTTCGATTCGATTCGTTTTTCATTTTTATCAGTCGATTTTTCAGTTTTTTCAGATTTTTTGGTTTTTCAGTTTTTAATTTTTCGATTTTTCAAATTTTGATTGAAAGAATTCGCAAAAATTGTAAAATTTAAAATCAGAATTGCAAAATCAAAAAAGTACAAAATAAAAACTTTGAAAAATCAAAAATTGGAAAACAAGAAAAAACGAAATATATTGTAAAATCTAAATATTGAAAATTAAATAAATTGGAAAATCGGACAAATGGAAATACAAAAACTGCAACATTGAAAAATTTAAAAATCGGAAAATCGAGGAACTGAAAAATCAAAGATTGAAAATTTGAAAAAAATACAGAAAATAAAAAACGAAAAATTGTGATGTAAAATAGAGAAAATGAAAATTAAAAAATCAGGAAAATGTAAAATAAAAATCAGAACTTGAAAAATCGAGGAAACGAAAAATTGAAAAATCGAAAAATTAAAAATTGAGAAACTGAAAAAAACATTAAAAATAGAGAAATCGAAAGATTCGAAATTTAAAAAATTGAACCATTGAAACCCTGGAAAACTGAAGAATTTGGAAATTTGAAGAATCGAACAACTGAAAAATCGAGAGCTTGAAAATTTCCAAAATGACGAAAAATTGAAAAAACGAAACTTGGAAAAAATGCAAAATAGAAAATTCTAAAAATTGAAAAGCCGAAAAGTCGAAAAACCGCGAAATCTAAAAACTGAAAATTCGAAAAATTGAAATCTGAAACATTGAAAAATCGAAATAGCCGAAAATCGAAAAGTTAAAACTGAATGATCTAAAAATTGGAAATCAAGAATTTGAAAAATTGAAAATCGAAAGATTAAAAACTGAGAAACTTAAAAATCGAAAAAACGAAAAAGTATATTGTAAAATCTCAATACTGAAAATTAAAGAAATGGAAACTGGAAATGATACAAAAACTGCAACTTTGAAAAATTTAAAAATCGGAAAATCCAGGAATTGAAAAATCATAGAATGAAAATTTGAAAAAATAAATGAAATGAAAAATTGTAATGTAAAATAGAGAAAATAAAACTTACAAACTTAGGAAACTGAAAAAAAATCAAGAATTTGAAAAATCGAGGAAACTAAAAATTGAAATATCCAGAAATCAAAAATTGAGAATCTAAAAAATCGAAAATTGGAAGTCAAGAAACTGAAAAATTTTATTTTTTTATGATAAAAAAAATAAAAGTTAAAAGAAACATATGTATGTAATGTTAAATTTTCGGGAAAACGGACATTTTGAGATGACGTCATCGATTTTTTAGAATAAATTTTGATTAAAGATTTACCAAGATTACAATAACCTTAAAACGTTTGCAATATTTCAAAGCATTTGGTTTTGCTGTTTCAAAGTCAAATTGCAAAATATTTTACAATTTTAATTTTTTGTCCAAAAATCTGGATGTATAGGGTAAAAACTCAACACGGATTCATACATCACAAATGCTTATTTTATTAAATTAAAAGAAATATTTTGTTGTCATTTTTTTAAAATACCTATTCCAAATATACATACAAAATCAGACAGGCAGACAGACAGACAGACAGACAGACAGACAGACAGACAGACATGCAGACAGACAGACGGAAACGGGTATTTTAGAGGGCATAAAGTTCACGCTCAGGAAGTAAGAAAATAGTTAAATTCATCCAATACTGTACACTTACAATACTTCAAAAGTAATAGAAGCGCATTCAAGGTGTCGTTTACGTGCGGTGAATCGTGTCGTAATCCAATCTAATCTTAATGAGACCTGAAAGGTCATGTTGGCACGATACCTTTTGCGTTAATTAATACTGTTGCTTGAGCATAGTACTGTAGTAGTACATTTTTTACCCTGAATATAATAAATAGGGGAAATATCTGTTAAGAAAATTTGAACAATGAACTTAATTTAGCCCAACAATTACAACAACGGTGCATTTGTGTGCAACTCGTGTGTAAAGTGTCTATTTACACCCGCTTTCGTTCGTTCTCTCCACACTATCCAATCTCACAACCCATTCATGTACAATACACCAAAAACTGCGCAAACAAGACAAAACAAAAACAAACTCAGTTTTCACTAAACGACCAACCGAGTTTTACTAGTTGCATACCTCGCAAAATCCCTCAAGAATTTTAATAACAAACGTTTTCATTAACCGAAACTATTCCGGCTGAAATTTCCGGTGTTTTCGCTTCGGTAAACGTTTTTCCACGCATAATGGAAAATGGAAGGCGGCATTTTTATCGGCCGCCGAACGGATCGAAATTAGTCATCATTTTAATTAAAACGGGACATTCCGAATGCCGCCACCAAAGATAATTTAAAGTCATGTCAGGTGGTCGCAGTCACGTATTTCCGCCGTTTGGGAGGGTAAATGTCAATTATCGGTTACAAACGAGGCCGAAGCCTGTCACAAACTCCGCAAATAAATCAAATAATCATCGTTTTCAATTTTTAACTGGATTGTGAATGAATTTCTGGCGGGTTTAATTTGTACGATCGTGCGGGGACGCGGAAATGGCGCAGTCAACAGGTCCGGACACGGATCTAAGTTTAATTACGACAGATACGTACTTAGAGTTTTTTGATGTTTAATTTGATTTTTTGTACGTAAGTATTATTTTATTGTGTGTGTTTGTTTATTTATTTATTTTTGGCTGTAATTGCCACTGGTATTAATTGTAGCTTAACGAAGTGTTTCATTGTAGATGATCGTTCCGAAAAAACGGACGGCTTTGTTGGTCGACAGACTGATGGTCGCTTTGCAGCAGGCGATCGAGGAGGAGGAGGCGGCGAACCGAGTCGATGGGCCCCCTTTGACGGATGGATACTCGCTGAGTCCGGAAGAAGTTCGAAAGGTATAGACATTTATGTTTTTTTTTCGATTTCTGGAGCGGAATAGATCGAGAAATTAATAAGGTGTTGCTGAGGCGTAAATAAGATCACATTTCCAATTATCTAGGAGTTGATGTCGTCGAGATTTGTTTTTTTCGTTTAGTAGTTTGTAAGGTGAGAAGGGCGAGTTGATTCGGTCGCTTCGGCCTTTTGGGAAAAAGTGCGTGTGCGTATACGGTAATTAAAATCTGTCTGTTCGCAAAATAGGGCTTGATTTATGAGTCTGACTTTGTTAATATCGCAATTGCAAATTGGCTGTTCACCGTGGAGAAAGGAATTAAATTAAGTTTCCTCTTGGGTCGTGTTAAAGCAATTTGGGCATGCACGGATTTACCTTTAGCTATGTTTATGGAGTTTTCGGTTTATTATTTATTTGAGTGTATTTTAGAAAGACGAAGAAATTAAAGCAAAAATTAATCTATTAAAACTTAATTGGCGAACTTTGTGTATACATTGAACGAACTTTGAGGAGGGTTGAACTTTGCTTTGTGCTTTTTGGTGCTCATTGTGCATGCACGGGAGAAAGTTCTACGTTGTAGAACACCCCCACATTTTTTCTAAAACGATGTTTTTATTTCTTGAGCATAAGGTGCTGGTAGGAAGATAATATCCGAAACTGCTGAAATTTACATTAGTATTTTTTTTAAATAAGATACCCTGCACTTCAGTTTTCACTCTAGAAGTCTAGATTTTTGGAAAAAATTGATTATTATTTTCATTACTTTGGCAGTTTTCCGTAAAATCTAAAATCTGAAAAATCGGGATATCGATAAAATCGGAAATCGAGAAATCAATAAATTTTAAAAGCGAAAAAACGAAGATTTAAAAAATCGACCGAAAAATCTAAATCCAAAATTCGAAAAATCGAAAGATCGAGCAATCGAAACATCAAAAAATCGAAAAATTGAAAGATCCAGAACTGAAATGTTGAAAAAGTGAGAAATCGAAAACTTGAAACCTCGAAAAATGGAAAATTTGAAAAATAAAAAATTTAAAAATTCGAAAAATGAAAAAATCGAAAAGTCGATAAAAAAAAAACTCACAAAATCCAGAAATCGACAAATTCAAAATTTAAAAAAGCGAATTATTGAAAAATTGGGAAATTGAAGAATGGAAAAACTGATAAAGTGAGAACTTGAAAAATTTCAAAACTGAAATGACGAAAAATTGGGAATTTTAAACATCGAAAAATTAAAATCAAAGATAGCTAAAAATCGAAAAGCTAAAGATTGAAACATTGAAAATTTTGATATTAAAAACAAAATTGAAAAACCGAAATGATATAAAAAAAAAATTAAAAATCTAAAAATTGGAAAACCGAAGAAAAATTGAAGAACCGAAAAATTGGAAAATCCCAAAAATAAAATATGGAAAAATTGAGAAATCGAAACATGAAAAAATGGAAGAATTTAAAATTAAAAAATCTAAAATCTAGAAGTTGCTACAATGATAAAATCGAAACGGTGAAACGTCTACAAATTGAAGACTCGAAACGTCGAAAAATTGAAAAATTGAAGCTGGACATATTGAAAAATCAATTTCCAATTTTTAGAAATTTTATTAAAAATTGAAAAATCGAAGAAAAACTGAAGAATCGAAAAGTTGGTAAATCCCAAAACTAAAACATCGAGAAATTGAGAAACCGGAAAATGGAAAAATTGAAAAATCGAAATTTCAAAAATGGAAAAAACCTGAAAAATCCAAAAATTGAAAAATCGATAATCGAAAAATTGGAACCCGAAAACATTTTAAATCGAAAAGTTAAAAATTGAAAACTGAAAAATTTAAAATAAGAGAACTGAAAAATTTGAAATTAAAAAAATCGAAAAATTGATAAATTGAAAATACAAAAATTTAACAATTCGAATAAATGGAAAATAGAAATATCGAACTGAAAAAACTCAAAAATCTACAATTTTAAAAATTGAAAAATCAAAATAAGTATTAAAAATAGAAGAATAAAAAAAAGTAAAATTCGAAAAATCGAAAAGTCGTAAAACCTAAAAATTGAAGAATCGAAATACTGAACAATCGAAAAATTACCAAGTCGAAATATTGAAGAACTGAAAAGTCGAAAAATTCAAAAACCGAAGACGAATTGAGACATCGATGAATTGAGAAATTGAAACATCAAATTTTAAAACTGAAAAATCTAAAATTAAAAATCGATGAAGAACAAATTCGAGAACTCTAAACGCCGTAAAATCAAAATATTGAAAAATGGAAAATCCAAAACTAAAATACCTAAAAATTGAGAAATCGAAGGAAAATTGAAGAATAGAAAAATTGGTAATTCCAACACTGGAACAAAAACTGAGAAAACGAAAAATTGAAAAATCGACAAATTAAAAAGTCGAAAAATCGAAGTTAAAAAATTTGAATCGAAAAATCAGAAATTTAAAAAATCGGAGAACTCAAAAATTAAAAACCGGAAAATCGAAAAATTGAAAAATCGATAAGAATTTAAAAACTGAAAGATAAAGAAAGAGAAAACTCGAAAAATCAAAAATTTTAAAAATCGAAAATTTCAAAACCGAAAAATCTAAAACCTAGAAGTCGAAAAATTCGAAATAGTCAGAAATCGAAAAGTAAAAAATTGTGAATTTAAAAATTTAAAATAATCGAAAAATTCAGAAAAAAATTTAAAATTTTTAAAATCGAAAAATTGGAAAACTGAAAATTGTAAAATCGATAAGTCGAAAAATTGAAGCATTGACTCGAAACATCAAAAAATTCAGAAAACTAAAATTTAAAATTTCGAGAAATTGTAAAATAGAAATATCGAAACATTGAACAATCGATAAATCGAGAAATTGAACAATCGAAAGATGGAAACGTCGAAATCTTGATAAATCGAGAAATCAAGAAATTGAAAAATCGAAAAATTGAAATAAGCATTAGAGATTTTACAAATCGAAAAATCGAATCATTGAAGAAAAATTGAGAAATCTAATACTTCAAATTTTAAAACGGAAAAATCTAAAATTTAAAAATCGAAACAGTAAAAAGTTGAGAAATGGAAAAATCGCAAAGACGAAAGTTAAAAAAAAATCAAGAAAAAAATTGTGAGAAATCCCAAAACTGAAATATCTAAAAATTGAACAATCGAAGAAAAATATAAAAATCGAAAAATTCAAAAATCAAGAACCTGAAAAATCGAAAAATTGAAAAATCGATAATCGAAAAATTGGAACCCAAAAACATTTTAAATCGAAAAGTTAAAAATTGAAAACTAAAAAATTTAAAATAAAAGAATTGAAAAATTTGAAATGAAAAAAATCGAAAAATTGATAAATCTAAAATTGGGGAAATAGAACAATTGAAAGATCGAAATATCGAAATTTCTATAAATCGACAAATCGAAAAATTGAAAATTCGAAAAACTGAAAAATCAAAAAATAAAAAATAAAATTTAAATCGAAGAATTGAAAAACCGAAGAAAAATTGAAGAACCGAAAAATTGGAAAATCCCAAAAATAAAACATGGGAAAAATTGAGAAATCGAAACATGAAAAAATGGAACATTTTAGAATTAAAAAATCTAAAATGTAGAAGTCGCTACAATGATAAAATCGAAACGGTAAAACGTCTACAAATTGAAGATTCGAACAGTCGAAAAATTGAAAAATTGAAGCATGGTCATATTGAAAAATCAATTTTCAATTTTTAGATATTTTACTAAAAAATGAAAAATCGAAGAAAAATTGAAGAATCGAAAAGTTGCTAAATCCCAAAACTGAAACATCGAGAAATTGAGAAACCGGAAAATGGAAAAATCGAAAAATCGAAATTTCAAAAAACGAAAAATTCAAAAATCAAAAACCTGAAAAATCAAAAAATTTAAAAATCGATAATCGAAAAATTGGAATCTGAAAACATTTTAAATCGAAAAGTTAAGAATTGAAACTAAAAATTTTAAAATAAAAAAATAGAAAAATTTGAAATTAAAAAAATCCAAAAATTGATAAATCGGAAATTGGGGAAATAGAACAATTGAAAGATCGAAATATCGAAATTTTAATAAATCGACACATCGAAAAATTGAAAATTCGAAAAACCAAAAAATCAGAAAACTAAAAATAAAATTTAAATTGAAGAACTGAAAAACCGAAGAAAAATTGAAGAACCGAAAAATTGGAAAATCGCAAAAATAAAAATATGGAAAAATTGAGAAATCGAAACATGAAAAAATGGAACATTTTAAAATAAAAAAATCAAAAATCTAGAAGTCGCTACAATGATAAAATCCAAACGGTAAACCGTCTACAAATTGAAGATTCGAAAAGTCGAAAAATTGACAAATTCAAACATGGTCATATTGAAAAATCAATTACCAATTTTTAGATATTTTACTAAAAAATGAAAAATTGAAGAAAAATTGAAGAATCGAGAAGTTGGTAAATCCGAAATCTAAAACATCGAAAAATTGAGAAACCGGAAAATGGAAAAATCGAAAAATCGAAATTTCAAAAATCGAAAAATTCAAAAATCAAAAACCTGAAAAATTGAAATATCGATAATTGAAAAATTGGAACCCGAAAACATTTTAAATCGAAAAATTAAAAATTGAAAACTGAAAAATTTAAAATAAAAAAAAAATAGAAAAATTTGAAATAAAAAATCGAAAACTGGAGAAATAGAACAATTGAAAGATCGAATATCGAAATTTCAATAGATCGGAAAATTGAAAATTCGAAAAACCGGAAAATTTAAAATCGGGATGTCGAAAAATCGAAACTTCGGGAACTCGAGACACCAAAAAACAGAAAAATCTAAAATTTAACAGTTCGAATAATTGAAAAATAGAATTACGAACTGAAAAAAACGAAAAATCTAAAATTTTAAAAATTGAAAAATAAAAAAATTGAAAAATCAAGAAATCGAGAAAGTAAAAAATTGAAAAACCTAAAATTTAAAAATCAAAAAATTGATAGTCGAAAAAGTAAAATTCGAAAAATCGAAA